CGTCGCGGACTCGGCTAAATTGGTAACAGATTTTTGTTGAAATAAAAAAAACTGTAATGTACTTTCAAGAAGAGTGTATCTACATTTTAAAGGCTGCAGGTGTCTTTGGGCGACGGTAATCACTTACCATCAGATGATCCGTCTGCTCGTTTGACTCCTGTCACATAAAAAAAGTCCTTCCTACCTCAGTCGTGTCCTTGGACAGCGCATTGAGTGTTTCAGTCAGCAGCTCCTGCAGGAACTTTTTGGGGCTTCGCAGGTTGGCTTGGCTTGGGATCGAACAAGCTGTTGTTATTCCTTCCTACCTCGGTGGTGTCCTTGGACAGCGCGTTGAGTGTTTCAGTGAGCAGCTCCTGCAGGAACTTCTTGGGACTGCGCAGGTTGGCCTGGCTTGGGATAGAACAAGCTATTGTTATTTCCCTCCTACCTCGGTGGTGTCCTTGGACAGCGCGTTGAGTGTTTCAGTGAGCAGCTCCTGCAGGAACTTCTTGGGGCTGCGCAGGTTCCAGTGCGGGTGCTGCAGGAACAGCTTGAGGTACACGCCGCCCACCACCACCTCGCCGGCCGGCGCCCACGCCTCGTCGCCGGCGGAGCTCCGCTCGAGTGTCTCGCGGTCCTCGAACTCAGTTTGACGAAGACATTCGCAAAATGGTCACGCTCAGATAAAACTTAAAGCCTGCCATTTTTGGAATAATTCAACTTGTAAGTTGAAGCTGTTAAATAAATGACCATATTTGAATTCGTGAGTTCGTAACGAAATGCAAATGGGAAGGTCTGCGTCAAACCCCTCGAAGTCTTAATTCAGTCAAGCGCGGTAACCTCGCGGTTTCTGGGTCATTCTTATTGGCGGCACTGAGGCGAGAACCGTGCGCGGTATGATGTAAATGAACGAGAACTGCTCAACAATCACGCGACTATTGCTGTGTATGAACCAGGCGGAATACTGGTGGCGTCGCGGACTCGGCTAAATAGGAAACTGATTTTTATTGAATTAAAAAAAACTATAATGTACTTTCAAGAAGAGAGTGTATCTACATTTAAAAGGCTGCGGGTGTCTATGGGCGACGGTAATCACTTACCATCAGGTGATTCGTCTGCTCGTTTGCCTCCTGTCACATAAATAAAATCCTTCCTACCTCGGTGGTGTCCTTGGACAGCGCATTGAGCGTCTCGGTAAGCAGTTCCCGCAGAAACTTGGGGCTGCGCAGGTTCCAAATTATATCGGCCTAGCAGCTTGGCTTGGGATTGAACAAACTGTTGTTATTCCCTTCATACCTCAGTCGTGTCCTTGGACAGCGCGTTGAGCGTTTCAGTGAGCAGCTCCTGCAGGAACTTCTTGGGGCTGCGCAGGTTCCAGTGCGGGTGCTGCAGGAACAGCTTGAGGTACACGCCGCCCACCACCACCTCGCCGGCCGGCGCCCACGCCTCGTCGCCGGCGGAGCTCCGCTCGAGTGTCTCGCGGTCCTCGAACTCAGTTTGACGAAGACATTCGCAAAATGGTCACACTCAGATAAAAGTTAAAGCCTGCCATTTTTGGAATAATTCAACTTGTAAGTTGAAAATGTTAAATTAATATTTGAGTTCGTGAGTTCGTGACGAAATGCAAATGGGAAGGTCTACGTCAAACCCCTTNTGGGATTCTCAGCATCTGTATGTACTGTCAATGTGTCTGAATTATCTAAAGAAGGGGCCTTCTCGGTTGGGTTAGCTACTATAGAACTGATCTCCTCATTGTGGATTTCAATGCGAGATAGCGCATCGGCGTTGGTGTTACATTTGCCTTGCTTATAGATAACGGTGAAATCATATTCACTCAGCTTTAATCTCCAACGAGTGAGACGAGAGTTGGGTTCTTTGAGATTCATAACCCATTGCAGGGGCTTATGATCTGTAATGATCTTAAATTTACGTCCAAATAGATATGGACGGAAGTACTTGGTGGCCCAAACAATCGCTAACAACTCCTTCTCAATAGTACTGTAATTTATCTCGCTGGTGTTAAGAGTTCTAGATGCGTACGCTATGGGCTTGTCGCTACCGATAGGTCCTTGAGATAGTACAGCGCCTATTGCTAGANTGTCACATAAAAAAATCCTTCGTACCTCGGCGGTGTCCTTGGACAGCGCGTTGAGTGTTTCAGTGAGCAGCTCCTGCAGGAACTTCTTGGGGCTGCGCAGGTTCCAGTGCGGGTGCTGCAGGAACAGCTTGAGGTACACGCCGCCCACCACCACCTCGCCGGCCGGCGCCCACGCCTCGTCGCCGGCGGAGCTCCGCCCGAGTGTCTCGCGGTCCTCGAAGTCAGTTTGACGAAGACATTCGCAAAATGGTCACGCTCAGATAAAAGTTAAAGCCTGCCATTTTTGAAATAATTCAACTTGTAAGTTGAAACTGTTAAATGAATGACCATATTTGAATTCCTGACGAAATCCAAATGGGAAGGTCTGCGTCAAACCCCTCGAAGTCCCAATTCAGTCACGAGCGATAATCTCCCAGTTTCTGGGTGGTTCTTATTGACGAGGCACTGAGACGGGAACCGTGCGGATACGGTTTGATGCAAATGTACGAGAACTGCTCAACAACCATGCGACTATTGCTGTATCTGAACCAGGCGGAATACTGGTGGCGTCGCGGACTCGGCTGGATCGGTAACAGATTTTTGTTGAAATAAAGAAACTGTAATGTACTCTCAAGAAGAGAGCGTAGCCTTCGTACCTCGGTGGTGTCCTTGGACAGCGCATTGAGTGTTTCAGTCAGCAGCTCCTGCAGGAACTTCTTGGGACTGCGCAGGTTGGCCTGGCATGGGATAGAACAAGCTATTGTTATTTCCCTCCTACCTCGGTGGTGTCCTTGGACAGCGCGTTGAGTGTCTCAGTGAGCAGCTCCTGCAGGAACTTCTTGGGGCTGCGCAGGTTCCAGTGCGGGTGCTGCAGGAACAGCTTGAGGTACACGCCGCCCACCACCACCTCGCCGGCCGGCGCCCACGCCTCGTCGCCGGCGGAGCTCCGCTCGAGTGTCTCGCGGTCCTCGAACTCAGTTTGACGAAGACATTCCCAAAATGGTCACGCTCAGATAAAAGTTAAAGCCTGCCATTTTTGAAATAATTCAACTTATAAGTTGAAAATGTTAAATGAATATTTGAATTCGTGAGTTCGTGACGAAATGCAAATGGGAAGGTCTACGTCAAATCCCTTGAAGTCCTAATTCAGTCACGCGCGATAACCTCGCGGTTTCTGGGTCGTTCTTATTGGCGGCACTGAGGCGAGAACCGTGCGCGGTATGATGTAAATGAACGAGAACTGCTCAACAATCACGCGACTATTGCTGTGTATGAACCAGGCGGAATACTGGTGGCGTCGTGGACTCGGCTAAATAGGAAACTGATTTTTATTGAATTAAAAAAAACTATAATGTACTTTCAAGAAGAGAGTGTATCTACATTTAAAAGGCTGCGGGTGTCTATGGGCGACGGTAATCACTTACCATCAGATGATCCGTCTGCTCGTTTGACTCCTGTCACATAAAAAAAAAATCCTTCCTACCTCGGTGGTGTCCTTGGACAGCGCATTAAGTGTTTCAGTCAGCAGCTCCTGCAGAAACTTCTTGGGGCTGCGCAGGTTCTATATTATGTTGGCTTCGCGGCTTGGCTTGAACGAACTGTTGTAATTCCCTTCATACCTCGGTGGTGTCCTTGGACAGCGCATTGAGCGTTTCAGTCAGCAGCTCCTGCAGGAACTTCTTGGGGCTGCGCAGGTTCCAGTGCGGGTGCTGCAGGAACAGCTTGAGGTACACGCCGCCCACCACCACCTCGCCGGCCGGCGCCCACGCCTCGTCGCCGGCGGAGCTCCGCTCGAGTGTCTCGCGGTCCTCGAACTCAGTTTGACGAAGACATTCGCAAAATGGTCACACTCAGAAAAAAGTTAAAGCCTGCCATTTTTGAAATAATTCAACTTGTAAGATGAAAATGTTAAATGAATGACCATATTCGAATAATGCAAATGGGAAGGTCTGCGTCAAACCCCTCGAAGTCCTAATTCAGTCACGCGCGATAATCTCCCAGTTTCTGGGTGGTTTAAGAACCACTTTGGCGAGGCACTAAGGCGGGAACCGTGCGGTTACGGTATGATGGAAATGAACGAGAACTGCTCAACAACCACGCGACTATAAATTGCTGTATCTGAACCAGGCGGAATACTGGTGGCGTCGCGGACTCGGCTGGATTGGTAACTGATTTTTGTTGAAATAAAGAAACTGTAATGTACTTTCAAGAAGAGAGCGTAGCCTTCCTACCTCGGTGGTGTCCTTGGACAGCGCATTGAGTGTTTCAGTCAGCAGTTCCCGCAGAAACTTGGGGCTGCGCAGGTTCCAAATTATATCGGCCTAGCAGCTTGGCTTGGGATTGAACAAACTGTTGTTACTTCCTTCCTACCTCGGTGGTGTCCTTGGACAGCGCATTGAGTGTTTCAGTGAGCAGCTCCTGCAGGAACTTCTTGGGGCTGCGCAGGTTCCAGTGCGGGTGCTGCAGGAACAGCTTGAGGTACACGCCGCCCACCACCACCTCGCCGGCCGGCGCCCACGCCTCGTCGCCGGCGGAGCTCCGCTCGAGTGTCTCGCGGTCCTCGAACTCAGTTTGACGAAGACATTCGCAAAATGGTCACACTCAGAAAAAGTTAAACCCTGCCATTTTTGAAATAATTCAACTTGTAAGATGAAAATGTTAAATGAATGACCATATTTGAATTCGTGACGAAATGCAAATGGGAAGGTCTGCGTCAAACCTCTCGAAGTCCTAATGCAGTCACGCGCGATAACCTCGCGGTTTCTGGGTCGTTCTTATTGTCAAGACATTAAAGCGGGAACCGTGCGGTGGATGCAAATGTTCGAGAACTGCTCAACAACCACACCACTATTGCTATATCTGAAGTCTGAACCAGGCGGAATACTGGTGGTGTCGCGAATTTTGCTGGATTGGTATCTGTTTTTTGTTGGATTAAAGAAACGAGTTATTTCCTTCGTACCTCGGCGGTGTCCTTGGACAGCGCGTTGAGCGTTTCAGTCAGCAGCTCCTGCAGGAACTTCTTGGGGCTGCGCAGGTTCCATGCTATGTTAGCCTCGCGGCTTGGCTTGAGATCGAACAAACTCTTGTTATTTCCCTCCTACCTCGGCGGTGTCCTTGGACAGCGCGTTGAGTGTCTCAGTGAGCAGCTCCTGCAGGAACTTCTTGGGGCTGCGCAGGTTCCAGTGCGGGTGCTGCAGGAACAGCTTGAGGTACACGCCGCCCACCACCACCTCGCCGGCCGGCGCCCACGCCTCGTCGCCGGCGGAGCTCCGCCCGAGTGTCTCGCGGTCCTCGAACTCAGTTTGACGAAGACATTCGCAAAATGGTCACGCTCAGATAAAAGTTAAAGCCTACCATTTTTTTAATAATTCAACTTGTAAGTTGAAAATGTTAAATGAATGACCATATTCGAATAATGCAAATGGGAAGGTCTGCGTCAAACCCCTCGAAGTTCTAATTCAGTCACGCGCGGTAACCTCGCTGTTTCTGGGTCGTTCTTATTAGCGAGGCACTGAGGCGGGAACCGTGCGGTTACGGTATGATGTAAATGAACGAGAACTGCTCAACAATCACGCGACTATTGCTATTGTATCTGAACCAGGCGGAATACTGGTGGCGTCACGGATTCGGCTGCATTGATGCCTGTTTTTGTTGAAATAAAGAAACTGTAATGTACTTTCAAGAAGAGAGCGTATCTGCATCTTAAAGGCCGGCAACGCACCTGTAACGCCCCTGGGACTGCGGGTGTCTATGGGCGACGGTAATCACTTACTATCAGGCGATTCGTCTGCTCGTTTGACTCCTGTCACATAAAAAAAAATCCTTCGTACCTCGGTGGTGTCCTTGGACAGCGCGTTGAGTGTTTCAGTGAGCAGCTCCTGCAGGAACTTCTTGGGGCTGCGCAGGTTCCAGTGCGGGTGCTGCAGGAACAGCTTGAGGTACACGCCGCCCACCACCACCTCGCCGGCCGGCGCCCACGCCTCGTCGCCGGCGGAGCTCCGCTCGAGTGTCTCGCGGTCCTCGAATATTGAGTTCGCGTCGCGGACTTGGCTGGATTGGTGCCTGTAGACGCAATTAAATAAACTGTAGTTTACGCGAAGAGACTATTAGAGAGAAACTAATGCCCGTCTTCCCTATAAATCCCTAATTTTTAAGTGACCTCTATGGTAACAAATAACAGGAATTTTGTTGTCAAAAGGGTCACATAAAAATTAGGAATTGATGGTGAAAACGGGCATAAGAGACTTATTAAGTGCGTTTTTGATAGTTTTCAATCGTCGAATAGCAGCTGAATTGCTAGCATAAAAAAGCCAACATTTACCAAAACCATCTGCTCTGGCTACCTCTGATTGTCATCAGGTCATCAGAACCTGTCGGTCGCTATAGAAAAACAGGCCTAACTCTCGTGACACGTTCAGTCGGGTCGAGCATGGTTCGAAAGTTAGTATAACAACAGTTATGATTACGGAGTGGTAGAATGGAAATGGAGTTGACCATCCTTAAGAGGCTGACAATAGTGACTGAGTTTCTTGCGCTGCTTCTTCTCAGCACTGGCCTATATATTGTCCTGAAGTAGTGGTAGGATTAATACTGGGACGTGTAATAGTGCTTTTTAAAAGCCTACTTGCATAAATAAATGAGTTATAGCCTGACCAGGAACATAAAAACCCTGGCATAGAGGCGCTTCAATTGCATTTGATAGTGCAACACTGAGTACAGTCGTACATGTGTTACATTAATACGCTAAATTTATGTATTTAGGATTACGGGCTAATTTGATATTTTCATAAATAAACGAAAAATATTATTAAAGGTAACCTGGTTTAAATAAATTAAATGAAACCATCAATCGAGCTAGTACGATTTATTTTATTATTCCTCAATAATCAAATTCAGAACTTGAATATTCAACTGCAATGTCTGCTCATGAACGCTTCAAACTCGGTACTTCTTTCCCAATTCCATAAAATTCAAAACTTAGAAAGTGACAAAAAACTTTAAAACAGGTAGTTGAAACAGACTACAGCTAATTTTCATAGTGGACTGTACTATTCGATAAACATGTCAGTCAATTTGACGACCTTTGTCGGAAACATTATTCAATGAAAATATTGTCCGAACCCTTAGTATTTCTCTTCGACAAATACATTAACACATCGTGAACCACTTTTCTTTCACGACTATAAAAATATTTTAGCAATTTAATTCACAAAATCAATTGCACACATTTAAAATAAAGTTTGTTTACACTTTGACAACAATAGACTGACATGCAAGGTGACATGTCAATGAAGTTTTCAGTTACTGTTGCCATTAATAGAAATTAGTACCATTAGTTTTCCGCAACATGGCGAGGGTTTTTATGTTCCTGGTCAGGCTATATATGAGTTTTTTAATGAAAAAACTGTGGCCGTCGGAAAAGAATAGATCAATGATGACATGGACTAATGTCACTCATACCTGTCTCTAAGTCCAGAGAGGGTGCGCGCGACCGCGGCCCTCGTGTCCTCGCTCCATACAAGCTCGGGGTGCTCGTGCTGAGCATCGAACATGTGCACAGCACTAGCGGCGCCGCCTTCCCGCATGGCTTCGGCGAACACTCCCGGCACGTAGCGGGATATCGTTAGGCGAACCTGTGAACAATGTGTACCGATTATATGCGGCTTATTATGTCATAACATCAACTTATTTTGCTTGATAGACTTATATATAATTATGTAAGATTTTCATGTAATTACTTTGTATGTAATGTTGTTGGTATACCTCAATAAATAAATAAATAAAGTAATTATCACATAAATTGTAAAGGGCCTCCGCTAAAACTCCAGCTGTTTCTGTCGAAAAATAGTATAAGCGGTGTGGCACGAATCACGCGCATTCCCGCTACCTTTATGAGGGTGGATGTTCCACGCTGCGTTTTCCGGTACGTGGCCTCCACTCCAGAACCTTGCGGCTCCAAAAAACCTTGCATATTCCCTATTTCCTTAAATAGACCGAGTCAGGACGTTTCCATACGCCTGCATCACGCGCCTTCCTGCTACCTTTATGAGGTTGTCGGTACACCTCGTGGGTGGACGTTCCACTGCGTTTTCCGGTATTTTGCCTCCACTCCAGAACCTTGCTGCCCCATCGGCCGTCAGTTCTTCTTTATCTAAAAAAACCTTGCATATTCCCTATTTTCTTAAATAGACTGTCTGATCAAACCGTCTCGACCAAAGGGGCGCGCAATTCTCATCGCGCGTTGGTTCCCGCTGAAATGACGACAAATCTCGACATGACGGTTAAGTCATGTCGTGATTTTTGAACGGGCGCCTCTTCAGCATATTTCTAAGATAATCATGTCTATTCTTGTTTTGTCCGCCACATTGTTATTCTTAATAAAGATTTCTTATTCTTACTATTTGCCAGTCTACAACCCACCTTGGGCCCGTGCAGTTTGTCCGCCATCATTCGCGCAAGCAGCTCAACGGCCGCCTCGCGCGTCTCAGGCAGCTTACTATTGCAGAACAGATCTAATAAGTATATCACAGCACCTGCGGACACAACGCTACCGTCAGTATGTTGTTACAGTATAAAATAAAACAGCAAACGGTAAAGTACAAAAATATACAAAAATTATCACTGTCACGGGATTTTTGCAACAAAAACACTTTTATAACATAAAATTCATTGCAAATGACGCCGCATCTCTTCAGTCTGCCCGCGACCATGACTCGTGCCACCGAGTTGAAACGTCGGAGGGTTTACCGTTATCTGCTTATCGTTATAAGTGTTTTTGTTGCAAAAATCCCGTGACAGTGATAATTTTATAGTAAAAATGCAATATAATAGCAGAGTAAATACAAATAGGTAGGTTATCTTCATAGAAACGCACCGAGCGCGGTTTGTATGTGAGCGTGCCAATACGTATGCGGTGCGCACTTACACACTGACAAAAATTGGCGCAACTCTATGAAGATAACTTACTCATTTGTATTTAATCTGATAATAGTTTAAAGTTGTACTAAATCTTTCTATAGAGAAAGGAAAGGGAAGCTACTCATGATATTAACTGCCTATGCTTGCGCGGATGCAGCGTGCGCCACTCAGTTTTACTTCTGGCAAAATCAGCTGGTTAACGCTCACACATTCTTAGGCTGAGTTGCACCACCTAACTTCAACCGTAACTATAACGATAACCGGTGCTTTTTGTATGGAGTTTGACAGATTTTTGACGTTACTTAATGTTAAAGTAAGATTTCAGCCTTAGTTTCTTGAACTGCTAGAAAGAGACAGAGATAATAACCTCACTTCAATCAAAATTTACCTTTAGCTAAAGCCTCTTTAACCAGCGTAGTGTTGGCTAACAGCGCGGACAAGGCCGCCAACACATCTAATACATCGGGGGCCCCAGGAATGGCCACTCTAGTCAGCCCAGCCACCGGTAACAAAGCCACTAGGTGGCCCAGAACGCCACTAGCGGCCACGTCTTCCACGCACTCCCGGCTGCCCGCGGTGGCTCTGACCGCTTGCAACGCAGCGTTTTGGAGGCGCGGTTGCGATCGGGCGGAGAGAAGCCCGAAAATTAGACCGAACTGCCCGATGCATTGGATCTCAACACCTGCAAAAAAAGTTAAATTCAAATTCAAATGTCAATGCGGCGTCATGTCAAGTTAGATAAATGATAATGGACGTACAGTAGGCGCGCGAGTTCATGTCCATCGGGGCCTTACTTACTTATTTACTTATACTTACTTACTTACTTATAAGTTGCAAAAAATATGGAATAGATATCGACATTAGCATAATTAGTTAGGTAACAGCACTACCGCATTCCTCAGGATGGACATGAACTCGCGCGCCTACTGTAAAATGATAGGTAGTGTTAAAGATAATTTGTTTTAACATAGCTTAATATTTACTCCCCATACCCGTCTGGCCAAGACTGGTTGAGGTGACCTGATGTTGGTATATTTTTCCCTTAGTCACCTCTTACGATATCCACAAAGAAGAGTCACGTGGTGGGTCATATTCTACATGTTTGGTGACTTCACATGCGTAGACCAAATCCTCCGTCCCTCTATCGTTGCCTAGATTACCTGTAGCCTTATCGACGTAACAAAACTTCAACGACAACAAAACACTGAGTTGCGATCCTATCGAGTAATCGTTCTATCAAAATGACCCTTGTGAATACGGATTTAGAACTGTTTTTCAATGGGATGACTTCTGAACGTCAGCGAGATCTTGACTGTCAAAATACGATGATGATGATTAATACAAACAACACTTCACAAAACAGCCACATGATGTCTTAGTGAAAAAGCAGTGGCGTATAAAGTCTATTCATAGCAAAATGAACCCTATCACAACTCACCAGGGTTCTTGATGATGACGTTGGCGATGGAATTAAGCGCCAGCGTGATGTGTTCAACGCGATCCGGCGTCATATCTAGTTGTATCTGCTCTTGGATGAACTTCAGCAGTTCTAGGATGAACTGTTGGGGATTCTGGCGACAAGAGAACAAGTTTTAGCATATTTTAGCTACAATGGGTTTCAATTCGGAGATCACATTATTTTTTTTAGCAATAGTAGTCATAACAGTGATTGATATTTGTCAGGTTATGTACTCCTTACCAATAAAATGGCGACGACTGTTTGCCCTATTGATTAAAGATCGTTTATCGAAGTGAATAGAATAAATAGGCATTTCTTTTTAAATTCCTATAAAACAACATATTTCTCACTCTCGTATGAACTGAGAATCTGTCATCGAACGGAATAAGAACAAAGTGCACGTAGTCTATGTATGTGGAGATATCCCGTTTAGCAGTCTATGCTTCATTTCACTTTCTAATGTTTGGCTGTAGTATGTCGTTTGTAAACAGCGAATGGATTAATGAAAATCATAATTTATTACCTCGATAGGGAACTCCGGCTGCTCGTTGTAGATGTGTATGTAAACGCCACCAACGGAGACCAGGCCCTCATGAGCGGAGTACGCGAATGGCTCCAACAAGGGCCCATCTTCCTCGTCAGAGAGGCGGCTGTTTTGAAGCACGTCTTGCAACTCGGCTCGTGTGCTGTTGTCCCAGACTAGGTACGGTGTGCGCCAGTTGGATGTTAAGGTCTTTAGGAGCTGTGAAAGACACTTTGGATTAGAAAAAAAGAAAATTACAATAGAACATCATAGGTATATAGAAGTAAATTAATAACAGTGGCACAACAAAACATGAAAGAAAGAAGAAATGGTGGACTGAGCAGTGCCATCCTAGCGCAATGTCTTTATCATCGAGGGTCACGATATTATTATCGTCATAAAAACTATGAGACTGGTTTTCAGTGTGTCCCGAGATTAAATTGGCATAGCAGACGTAGCAATAAAAGCGCTTTTAAGAGCCTATTTGAGTCAAATAAATTCTAATAATATTAATTTCTAATGACATAATACGGATTTAAAGTCAGAATTTGGTAAAACAAAAGAGAATTTATCACAAAGAGTTACATCATATTTTTAATTACCTCGTGTTGATCAGTCTCGGCCAGTCGTCTGCACAGGTGCGGCGTTAGTAGCGTGTGCAGCGCGTCGCGTATCCGCGCGTCGTACGGGGTAGCCTCTTCATGCGGGCCATACAAAGCTGCCAGCGCCACTATGCACTGTTTGGCTAGTTTGTTTGCGATCTCCTGTAGATAATAATAATCAAAGTCAAAATAATCAACTGAAAGACCTAGGACCTGCAGCTAAACAGTTGAGCATGTTTTGTTTTTTGTGCAATACAAAGTATTAATAGTCCCGTCAGCCACTCGTGGTAAGCTAAATATGCTTGTGTTAACTTACGAGTGGGCTCACCACAATAGTTGAAACCATTTTTAATTTCATTAAAAATGGCTTTTTGTTCTTGTACTGATTTCTGAATAAGTTTGTTTAGACTATTGTTAATACTTTTGTGGTACTTATTGGACTCTAATCGAGTGTGCGAGGGAGAGAGGTGTTGAATTAACAGATCTCGTCAATCCACGTCAGACTCATTATGCGTATAGTCGTAGCGCAGCGCAGCTGGCAGTAGCGCGTGTCTAGCGCCGGCACGCGCTAGCCCCACGCGGCTCGCCTTATCACCGAGTTATTGTATCTATAGCAACGAACCTGCTTGTTGGTCTCATCAGCCCCCACACCAGACTCAGTATGCGTATAGTCGTAGCGCAGCGCAGCGGGCAGTAGCGCGTGTATAGCGCCAGCGCGCGCTAGCACCACGCGACTTGTCACCAAGTTATTGTTTCTATAGCAACGAACCTGCTTGTTGGTCTCATCAGCCTCCACGCCGGACTCAGTATGAGTGTAGTCGTAGCGTAGCGCAGCGGGCAGTAGCGCGGGTATAGCGCCGGCGCGCGCTAGCTCCACGCGACTTGTCTTGTCGCCTAGTGAATGTATCTATAGCAACGAACCTGCTTGTTGGTCTCATCGGCCTCCACGCCGGACTCAGTATGCGTATAGTCGTAGCGTAGCGCAGCGGGCAGTAGCGCGTGTATAGCGCCGGCGCGCGCTAGCACCACGCGACTTGTCATGTCACCCAGTTATAGTTTCTAAAACAACGAACCTGCTTGTTGGTCTCATCAGCCTCCACGCCGGACTCAGTATGCGTGTAGTCGTAGCGCAGCGCAGCGGGTAATAGCGCGTGTATAGCGCCGGCGCGCGCTAGCCCCACGCGACTTGTCTTGTCACCCAGTTGTTTCTATATCAACGAACCTGCTTGTTGGTCTCGTCGGCCTCCACGCCGGACTCAGTATGCGTGTAGTCGTAGCGCAGCGCAGCGGGCAGTAGCGCGTGTGTAGCGCCGGCGCGCGCTAGCCCCACGCGGCTCGCCTTATCACCGAGTTATTGTTTCTATAGCAACGAACCTGCTTGTTGGTCTCATCGGCCTCCACGCCGGACTCAGTATGCGTGTAGTCGTAGCGCAGCGCAGCGGGCAGTAGCGCGTGTATAGCGCCGGCGCGCGCTAGCCCACACGGCTTTTCTTGTCGCCTAGTGAATGTTTCTATAGCAACGAACCTGCTTGTTAGTTTCATCAGCCCCCACACCAGACTCAGTATGCGTATAGTCGTAGCGTAGCGCAGCGGGCAGTAGCGCGTGTATAGCGCCGCGCGCGCTAGCCCACACGGCTCGTCTTGTCACCAAGTTATTGTTTCTATAGCAACGAACCTGCTTGTTGGTCTCATCGGCCTCCACGCCGGACTCAGTATGCGTGTAATCGTAGCGCAACGCAGCGGGTAATAGCGCGTGTATAGCGCCGGCGCGCGCTAGTCCTGCACGACATTCAGCCGCCGCCGCTAAAGCGCCTACCGCTTCGGCGCCTGCGCATGCCGTATCGCCCAGATGCTGGAAACAATACATTTTACATTAACCCTATGAACTATCAATACACCATGCACAGTAAATTGCTCACCAAAGTTACGTCTATGAAAGATCAGGACTCTAAGCTTATATTTGATAAACATATCGATTATGCGATTAAAAAAGCGTCAAGGTCTCTTGGGTTCGTTATTCGCTCTACAAATAAATTTAAATCCATCAAGCCAATAAAAGTTATTTATTGTGCCTTCGTGCGCAGCATCCTCGAATATGCCTCCGTGGTCTGGAGTCCGCAATACAATGTTTATATCTCCCGCATAGAATCCATACAAAAAAGATTTTTGCGGTATCTACAATTTAAGTGTAAAGTTATTGATCATGGCTATGAAACGAGATGTAGAAGATATCATTTCCTACCTTTAGAAAAAAGACGGCAAGTATCCGATATTTCTTATCTGTTGAAAATTGTTAGTGGCGATGTCGACTGTCCAGAACTATTACAAAAAATAGATATCTGGGTTCCAAGAAAACTACCAGTAAGACGTACTCAGCCGCTAGCAATTCCCAAAGTTAACACAAATTATCGCCTCAACTCTTTTTTTATTCGTGCGAGTAAATGTTTTAACGATATATCAAAAAATTATAGTGATCTAGAATTATTTCGAACGAAACCCACTACCATAAATAAATTATTCAATTCAAACTTTTTCGACTCCCACTCCAGCGGCGCTTAAAAAGCATTGTTTACTGTTAAGTTTTCACTTGTAAATTCTTTTAATGTCTGCTATGGCATATGGTCTATTTGCATCTTAACTTCCATTTGCGATTACCTATAAATGGCTAAGCAGATACATAATTTAAGGTCCCATTATTTGTATTGTATTGCTGTTGGTTATCCGAATAAAATAAAATAAAATAAATAAATAAAATTAAGGCGGTTATCACACTGCGGAGCGCGTGATTTCATATAAAAAATGCCACGCGCAGACGCGTTGTCAGTGTGAAGTGCCGCGCGTGTTTTCTACAGGGTGGAAACGTTAAGTGATCTCACTCGATTATTTCTTAACTATACAAGATATTAAAAAACTGGTTACTGATCCTGATAGTGCTTAATGAGCTCTTTCAAACGGAACCAATAATAAGTTACAGAATAAACTGGATCTATCTGAAAATTCAATGTTTCCAGCTTCCATACTAAATGTATGCATATTAGAAGTGTAATTTTTTAAATTTAATAATAAATACTTAAAATAAACTCGTAAATTGTATTCTTATTTTAAATTATTAATGAAAAACATTGGTTTTAGGCTTTACTTGCTATAATATTGTCAAGAGATGAGTGTCATGACTGTGGTAGTACTAAATGTATGGAAGAAGGAAACATTGAATTTTTGGTTAGATCCAGTTTATTCTGTAACCTATTATTGATACCATTGGATAGAGCTTGTGAAGCACTTTTAGAATCAGTAATCAGTTTTACGATATCATATGTAGTTTTTAAAATAATGTGACTTTACCAAATGTATGGAAGCTGGAAACATTGAAGTTTCGGATAGATCCAGTTTATTCTGTAACCTATTATTAATACCGTTTGATAGAGCTCATGAAGCACTTTCAGGATCAATAACTAGTTTATTGGTATCTTGTATAGTTTAGAAATAATCGAGTGAGATCACTTATCGTTTCCACCCTGTATACAAACTGAGGTACTTGCATACAATGATTAAATCTGTCGTCCCGCGTACCGCGGCGGAGCGCGGCGCAGTGTGATAATTGCCTAAATTAAACTATTCGGCACAAAACGAACAAATAAGACTTCTTGGTGAAAATTATTTTAACACTTCAAAACATGTAGTTCGTCAACTATTTTCTTTGTAATATGTAATCAGGCATTCGCCATATTGAATTTAGATTACTGTCATATTTAGTGACTCGCAAAATCGACTAATGACTCGATCAATTGATCAAAAGCGCCCTACTCTTAAACTCGCGCACTCACTGCGGCCGCCCGTCGCACAGTCGCGACAGCAATATAATACGCGCGAGCGATAAGGATGGGTAGCTTGGGGTCATTGGACGAAATTCTATCGGCTCGGCGACCGGACTTTAAGAGTGTGACACGGCACACCGCCGCGCTCACGTCGCCAGGCCTCGTGCTAGAGACACTCACCGGTCGCCTCAGTAAAGGCACCAGGTCCTGGCACAGCTGCGGCAGGCCGGCGCAGACCTCCCGGCAGGCCTCGAACCCGGCGGCCACCGCGAAGCAGCGCGCACAGTGAGCGCACACCGCCGCGCTCACGTCGCCAGGCTTCGTGCTTGAGGAGAGAACCGGCACGCAGCGCGACATCGCTTCGTGCAACACCTGGGAAACAAGAACAACACCAGTTAATAATACTAACACCAGAACAAAGTAAGTCAAGGGAAAACAAGTAGGGATATACGAGTGGATCACTCGTTATTATGTTATTATGAATCTTGTCTTGTCTTAAGAGACAAAAATTATAAATTTTAGCTTGACAAACTTTAATATGTAAACCCGGCACTGCTAATAAGAACAGTAAAATCTACCGTCAGTAGCGCTGCCGTAAGATTAGTTATGGCCCTCTAATGGACCTCACGGAGTACCAACAGCCGTTACTAACAATTTGGTGCCAACTTATCTTTAGTTAGTTAGATAGAAATAAAAACTATCGATAACATAAAAAGACCGATCAATGTAATTTATTTTACATTATCGACACATGTATCGATTATGCAGCAACTCTAGCCGATAAGTAAGTCCGGTGTCTCACGTGTTGTACCTCGCTATATGACACGGACACTAACGGACGGAAGTAAGGCCGGGGCCTCACTCTCGGCGAACAGCTGGTCCGCTTCCACTTTGTCCTTAGGAAACTAGCCTATTGTCTTTGTTAACATCGGTCACAAACCTGCAACCCTCCTTCCCTGCGAAGCTCCTCTGCATTCAGCGCGGAACAAGCCACAGTAGCATGCGCCAGCTCGCACGCCGCTGGAAGTAAGGCCGGGGCCTCACTCTCGGCGAATAGCTGGTCCGCTTCCACTTCTAAACGCGCCGTGCGCAACAGCTGCGGGTAGCCCGCGTATTTGTACGGCGCGAGAACTGGCGACAAGAATAATTTTTGTGTGAGGATTTCTAAACACAAATCAACTATCTGCAATTGACTCAAGATAAAATTAATTAGAACAAAAATTCGGCTAACATATGGAAAACAAAGAGACCGCGAACTTTACTTGACTTTAGGTAATGCTATAAGGCCTCAGCCTCGAGTTTAGCGGGCAGCGGGGCGGGAGCGGCGGCGGCGCGGGAGCGGCGGCGGCGCGGGAGCGACAGGATCTTATGCGTGAAATCAAATAGACCGGTTCTCGAAAACAGCGGCGCGGCAGCTGCGCGGGAGCGGGCAACGAGTGGGCAGCGCACTCCTTCTTTTGCCCACAATAAATCGAGCGTTAGGAATAAATTTGAATCGAAATAAAATTGTCGCCGTTGTTCAGACATTTCGTTTGCGAATAAAAACAAATATCTCGACAACACAACCCCGAACACAACACTTCGCCGCTAAAGCGAAATACGTACGGCGGCAGCGATAGTCTCAAAAAAAACCAATTTACTTTAAACTAATTTAATTAAAGATATAGAAATTACAATTACAAATTAATTATAACTAGAGCGATTGACCAAGTTCGATGTTGGAACCAAAGTGATCGATGTGGCGGTGGCGCGATGGGACGCGGCGGCTCGGTGCATCACGTTCTGCCGACGCAGCTCCTCGTGTCGCCGATTGACGCAATTACTTGTTTAGCCAAAATCTAGGTTGGTACTTCGTAGGCGTTTCCCTTAGAGTGGCAGGGTGTAACACCTCCCCCCGAAGATCAGCAACTATTGGAGAATTTTCTTCGAGAATGTTGCTGTAGTGAGACTGGATACATCTCGTTGCTTATCTGAGATTTCTGCATAGGTTTCTTGAGGGCTTGACGTATTCACTTGACGTTTGATGTAGTGACGTCGAATTAATAAGCCAATAACGAGTGCGCCTGCACTTAACAGTACTACGTATAAGGGTATCGTAGTATGGTAAAGGCTAGCTTCCACAGATTTGCTTATCTCTACTGGATGCTGCAGAGATATCTTCGTGTTACTTGCGTGTAGATTTTCTAAGTTGATTGAGTTCAATTTTATGAGTGATCTCGGAGTTGATGGGAAGTTCTCTGGAGGTGGCAGGTTCATGATTTTGATAGCTGTTCCTCTTGTGCGGTCGTTGCTGTTGAGTATAGTGAACTCGGACGTTTGGAGATAACATCCCGAAGGGACGGTAGCCAGATAACTGCCTTGAAGAGTAGAGTAAGTATTCTTTCCACAGGATGTCTGGATCTTCGNTTGCTAGATTGGAGGCGTCTGTAGTTAAAATGAAATCTTTAGAGAAATCCGGATACTGTAATATGGGATCATTTGTGAGTAGTAATTTACATTTCTCGAAACAGTTGACATAATTTGGATCTAAAGTGATTTTGGAACCTTTTTTCAAACACTGAGTTAACGGCTTAGTAATCCGTGCGAAATCTGGGATGAACTTCCTGTAGTACCCTAAGAGTCCTAGGAACCTCTTAATTTCAGTGGGAGTTTTTGGTATGGGATATTTCTTGATGGCTTCGATCTTATCCGGGTTAGGCTTTACACCATCTTTGCTGATGATGTGACCTAGGAATGCTGTCTCAAGTTTGAGGAACTCGGACTTGTCCATCTGTATCTTGAAATTAGACTCACGGAGTCTTTGGAACACCTTTTCAAGATTATTTATGTGTTCCTGTAAGGACGTACTGAAAATGATGACGTCATCAAGATACACAAGACAGATAACGTTCTGTAGACCACGGAGGACATTGTCCATAACGCGTTGGAAGGTGCTTGGTGCGTTCTTTAAACCCATCGGCATTCTGAGAAATTCGAAATGGCCGTGTTCTACGTTAAAAGCTGTTTTAGGTATATCCGAGGGTTCCATTTCTACCTGATGGAAACCACTGGCAAGGTCCAGGGTGGTAAAATATTGACAGTTGCCTAGTTTGTCCAAGATATCCGCGATGTTAGGGATAGGATACTTGTCGTCGATGGTTTTATCATTTAGTTTCCTAAAATCAACGACTGAGGGACTAGTTAAGGGTCCAATAGGGTGTCCTATAGCTCAAAACACCAGACTCGGCTGGATATTATCTGGTCAAGTATCTGAAAGTAGTAAAACTGAACCAAGCAGTAGAAACGTCATAACAACATTACACACTCAAGTTGTTGAAGAAGAGTTTGATCTTAAACGCTTTTGGGAAATAGAATCTGATCAGTGTCTTCTCAATAAACCTCACCACACACCTGAAGAACAAAAATGCGAAGAATTTTTCAAACAAACAACCACAAGAGACCCTTCTGGACGTTATATCGTAAAACTGCCATTTAAAGAAGAAAATCCGGCTCGAAGGACCATGAATAAAGTCCAACAATGTATTTGATGATAAAATATCCTTTATTTTGATTTAGTTTCACAAAAAACAATTCTCCCGTGACACTGTTGATGACATGACAAATTTCTTCTTTTTTATTACTTTATGGTATTAAACAAACGACAAGACGCCACTTAGTTTTGCCAGAAGCGTCAGCTTTCTTGGGAACTACCCAGATAGGTGAGCTCCATGCTGAACTGGATGGCCTGATGATACCTTGTTCTAGCATTTTACTAATCTGGCTCCTAACCTCTTCCCTATGGATGTACGGGTAACGGTAACTCTTGGTATAAACTGGTAGCTCGTCAGTAGTCTTGATCGAGTGTTTGATCTGATTTGTAAAAGTTAAAGCCTCGCCTTCGATATAAAATACGTCTGCATATTGAGCGCATAAATTTTGTAAGTTCGCGCGCTCTTCAGCGTTCAAATGGCTAGTCCGTAGACGCGAGAGAACGTCCGTAGCACGTTTAGATAGCTTCGTAACGCTTTGATGACGCGGGTCACGCGGTTCACTACTCGTAGTATGAGGGTGACGTAATTCGCTCGTAGCATAGGTAAGTTCCGTAGCATTTAGTTCGCGCTCGGTACGCGTGGACTCTACATTATAGATCTCTGCGCTAACCTGGCGGTCGACGGAAAAAATGACGTCATTATGACTTGGGTTTGATATCTCTAAATATCCGCGATTATTTTTAACGCTGGTTAAACATTCTCCTACAATGCAATTAGATATTACCTGTTCTGGGATAAACGCATCTCCGTCTCTGACATTGATAGGTAGTTTAATTAATTTAGAGGAACGCCCTGGAATGATGTCTTCATACAGGTTAACGTTCCGGGAATCATAGACATGAATCGGGTTAGAAGCGTGCCGTGTAATAAGTAACTTATTTTTAAAATCAATTGACGATTCCCATTTGTTCAATAAATCTGACCCAATTAAACCGTCGAAATAATTATGGAATTTATAGACAAAAAGTGTAACATCGGTCGTGTCATTGAATTCCGAGAAACACGGTAGCGTAATAGAATAATCGCACCGGCTTATTGCGTGTACATTGACGACTTCAAACGGATCGTAATTTAATTCATAATTCGAGAAATATTTTTCGACAGCCTCCGGACTTATAAACGACTGATTAGCTCCGGTGTCTATAAGTAATTTTAAAGGTGGGTTCAATATCTGAACATACGGGAGTTGTCTCTGGGTTTGCAAGTTTAATTCTATTTTGGTTTGTCTGAGCGGGCTGGCTCCTGAAAATCCTCGGCCTTGCTAGGTGAAGGACTTTCTTCCGTAATTTCACAAACGGGTTCGGTATTAAATAGTTCTGGATAATTATAATTGGGTGCATAAAAAATATCATTAGAATAGTCAATGTATTCGCAATAGGGCATGCTGTTATCGCCGTGATAGTAATCTGAGTAGCCATCGAAATAAGGTCCGTATTCATAATCCAAGCAATCATTAAAATTCATTTCTCGCGTTTTAAAGTAATTACTTGGTGGTGGATTACCAAACCTACGCCAATCATGACCACTAGGTGGTAAAGGTTTGCTAACAAAGTGGCTTACGCCGCTCATGGGTTTGGGTGCCTGATAATTAGCAACGGGTGGATTCCTATTGGGCATTCTGAACACATGACTTTGTGGGTTATAATTTGGAGGTGGAGCACTGAACATCTGCTGGGTACGTGTCGGTCCACGGTTCAGTTGTGGTTGAACTGGGTTTGGTCGCCATTGCTGGGACGGCTGGGGTATACGGAATGGTTGAGGTTGAGGACGAGATGGCCCTGGCATGCTAAAACCTAGAGGCTTTGAAGATGGCATTGGTGGCATGGGAAAATAATTAGGAGGGCTATAAATTGGTTTAGTAGGTGGAGGTAAAATGAAAGATTGCGATTTCCTATCGGGCAATTGCTCATTTCTCTGCTGTAAATATAAGGTATTAATTTCCTCCTGTACAAATTCTAGCGCTTGCTCTATAGATGCGGGCCGCATGCATCGAATACGCGAACCCAGCGGTTCCTTGAGGCCGCGTAAATATGATTGCAAGGTTAATTTTTTGTATAACTGACGTTTGGCCTCTACTGTAGTGGGAACACTATCATGCAAAGTTACGTATGTCATTATAGTGCTGAAAAGGGTCTGACAGCGCTCATAAAATTCCTGCGGTGTGCTATGGCCCTGAGACTGTAATGCTAAATCATTGTACAACGCGGTTTCATCGCGTTGATCGGCAAAGTTATTAATTAACGCATTTCTTATGCCTTGCCAATCGCTAGGAATGCCATGTGAATTTATAAGACGGGCGGCGGGCCCTGTGACTTTATTTAAAATGCCGTTTAATAAGGCCTGGTTTTCCAATTCGTGTCCCGGCCCTGTGTTAACGTGTCTGAGTACGAGTTGATCGCACAAATGTATGAAACGAGTTAACACGTTGGGGTTCCCGTCAAATTCCGGGAGTAATCTAAGGGATTTAAAGATGTTGTCTACGGGATCTGACATTATTTCGACTTCTTCCTCTATTACTTCCTCTACTATATTCCTATGTGCGTCTAACCTATTAATCCTATCTAACCTAGGGGAATCGGACCCCGATCGTCTAGGATGAAA